AATCCATTTGGCTACCAAACAAAGCCTATTATTCTTCAGTTAGCTGAGTTTTATAAATATTAATTGGTTTTAAGTTGTAGGGGAAAACACAGGGGTTATTTTTGGAGGAGGAGAAGTGCAAATTCTAAAGTGCAAATTTAGACTGTTCAAATTAAAGTTTTGCAATGCATTTTTACTCTGATGTTGAAGTTGTGAACCTCAAAAGATATAAGAAATCATGTTCTGCATGACTGAACAACGATTGAATCATGCTGAGAAATTAGGAGAGAATAATCCTCAAGCCACAATAAAAATTATAGGGCATCAAAATGGAAGCCCACTTATAGCTAGAATAGAGATCAACTAAGGTCTTCCATTGTCAGAGATATTCCAGAGTTTTGGCAAAGGAGATGATCCTATCTCACCTATAAGTTCCTTTGCACTTATCACCAAAGAATAATGGCAACTGCTGACGCTTTTCCCTCCTACTCACAGGAGAAGGCTATTACTGAAACTCACCTCATATCTGCAGATCAGACATGCTAATTACCTTGGCTAGTACAATGTGTCCTTTATTCACAATTATCAGTGGGCGGGTTTTCCAGATGTTTCAGAAATATAAAAAGGAGATAATAACAAACAAGTAGAACTAAATTTGGCAAGAAAAAGATGTAATACAAGAAATAAAACAGAACTTTACTAAAAAATTAAAATCATATGCCCAAGATTATAAAGAAGACAAAAGGCTTACAAATAAGATCAGGCTGTTATAGAAGGGAAAAAATAGAGGTGAAGAATAAAGACCTTGAACATTACAGAAATACTACTGCAAAATTAAACACTTCATAGAAGCCAAATATAAACATTGATTATAAAATAGTATAAGCTTCCAAAAGATAAGAGGCCAAAAGTGTTGCACTGATCAAAGCCATGGGAACAAACTACTAATTGAAAATAGATATTTTATCTATAACTTTAAAAACATCTTAGAGAATATACCAATTTCTCTAACAGGTTATCTTGACAATAAGAACCACACTTGATTCTTATAGTGTGTATCTCTAGAAGCAAACAGAGTGACTGACACATATTGGGAGTTAAATAAATAATTTTTGAATGACAGTACCAATAAATGATTTAAAATTAAAAATTTGGATGGTTTTATGTTTTAAACCATAAAACCTTTGAGTTCTACATATATTTGTGTTTTAATTTTCAATAGATGTGTAATAACTTATTTACTTGAGATGGTAAGAATCTAAACAGCCATTTTTGTTTGCATTTGTTTTATCTGCTTGTCCACAAGAACATAAAAATGGAAAACAGATTTTGTTCCTCTTTTTTAATAATATACCCCTAAATTCTAAACAACTGTTTGAACCATATTTGGTGATCAATAAATACATGTCAAATGAATTAATCAACTAACGCAAGGAGATTTGAGGTCAGCAGTTGGAAAATTGAATAAGTTCCCGATTAGGGTAAAAGAAGAATGACTTGCTGAGATTTCGGAGAGGAAATTTTGTATACCTTATATGGCTCATGCCACAGAACACGACTGAGGGATTTTTAAAAAATGACTTGCCAAAGTGGCAGTGAAAGTACAAAAAAGCTTAGAGGATATGAATTCATCCATATGATTAATGGTGTTTTCTCCAAGAATGCATCCTGATTGGGGAATGATATCTAATCTACAATTTGTGTACTACAGAATTCTTAGTGATGACCAAAACAATACTGGATCAAAATTGCAAAATGTCTTATGTATATTAAGACTTTTGGCATTCATGTTCTGGATTTTAATGGGAATATTTATCATAAACACCGGGAGAAAAAGTAATGTTATAGTATAGTTCTAAAATATCCCCTAAAAGACTCATGTGGTTCTGAGGTGGAGCTTTCGGAAGCATGGTAACGTTACAGCCAATAGTGGATTAACCCACTGATGAGTTTGTAGTTTAATGTGCCGTTAAGTGCTAGGGTGTCAGTGGAGGAGGTGTGCGTGCCTCTGGAGGATCTATCTATCATGTATGTGTGTATGTATCTACCTATCTATCATCTACATCTATCTCTGGCTCTCCTTCCTTTCTGTGCTTCCTAATTGCCATGGGTTAAAAAGGTTTCCCCATTAGGCCCTTTCATCATGCCATTTCTGGCTTGGAGCCAGCTGATCATGTACTGAACTCTTGGAAACTGTGAGTCAAATAAACCTCTCCTCTTTTAATCAGCAAATGTTGGGGATTTTGTTCCAGTAACAGCAAAACTAACTGATGCAAGATATGTAAGATAGTATGGAATCTAAGGAGTTGGTTCCAATGGGTGGAGTATGATCAGCATTTTGAAATAATGAGTATGAATTTATATGGTATTTGGTGGTTAGTAATTAGGCTCTGGTGACTCAGTGATAGAGCAATGCCAAGTACATTATGTCTCCATTCTTGCAAATATAAACTAAAACACACTAGCTTTACTCCTTGAGATACTTTCATCGGGGGAAATAGATTAGCCAATAGTTTGCAAGGCACTAAGACATTCAACAGCAGAGACTGATCCATTAGAAAAGAAAAACAACTGAGGAAAGCCCAGTGACTATTCACAGATTATTTACTAGGGGCCCAGGCCACAGCTCAAGGAGGGAGAACATAGGCAGAGATCAGAAATCTAACCAAGTTGAGATTAAGCTAAGTCACAAAACTAAGCACCTAAGGAAAGTACAGATAGCAGAGTGTGGCATGTAAACTGTGACTGAAATAGTGACTAATGTGACCAACCAGAGGAAAAAGAAATCTCTTGGGTATAGAGAAACAAAACTCAAGGTGGCATCAGAACGCTCATTCAATGCACACCTGTAATCCTAGCAATCGAGAGGCTGAGGCAGGAGGATCCTTGTGAGTTTGAGACCAGCCTGCACTACAAACTGAGCTCCAGGCCAGCCTGAACTGCATGGCGAGACCCTGTCTCAAAAAACCAAAAAAGAATACTCATTCAAAACAATGCAAGTGAGAAAACTTGCATGCTTAAAGTGTAGCCACATGCTTAAAGTACTGATAGGAAAAATATATATTAACCTAGAATTCTATACACAGAGAAAATATCTTTCAAAAACAGAGACAAACAAATTATTTAGGTAAGTAAAAAAATAACAAATTCATCACCAACAAATGTAATGTATGATATATTGGCCTACTCCTCTCTGAAAATTCACCCTCAAAACCATTCACAATAGTATTAAAAACATGGAATTATGTAGGGAAAATCCAGGGAGAGAGATATGGAATGCATGCAGCAGAAACTTCAAAATAATGTTGAGATGAATGTATATATGTTGATGGATATGTATATTTTCATGAGTAAGAAAATATGATATTGTTAAAATGATATTTATCCCAATTAATCTACAGATTCCACAGAGCTCATTAAAATCCCAACATGCTTTTCAGTAGACATTCACTAATTCTAAAATTCCCATAGAAATTTAAAGGACATAGAGAAAGAATAACTGTAAAACAACTGAATTTGATGAATAAGATTGACTTGCAAAAGTTAAAATAAAGGGAAATAACACACTGTGGAATTGCTGTTAAGACAGAAAAATTAACAGATCAGAAAAGAATCCCAAGAAATATAGAAAAATGATTTTCTACAGCTACAAAGTTAATTCAGTGGAGAAAAGATCACCATTTCAAAAGAAGTTCTGGCATTATCATCTACCCACAGACAAAAAATAAAAATCATTTGATGCATATATTGGACGATTTACAGACATCAACTTACAATGTAAGAGAGGGAAGGGCAAAAAAGGAAGAGCAAGGAGAGGAAGGAAGTAAAATGATTAAGATTTGATATGCATGTGTACAAATCCTCCAGGATGAATGTAAATATGATGCATCACAAGCATATACCAATTAAAAAAAGAAACAACAACAAAATTTAGAAGGATAATAAGAAAGACGAAGAACCTTCCTGACCTTTGGATAGGCAGTATTTTCTTAAATTCAACATAAAAAGAATAGTCCATGGGGGAACAAGTTGAATGGAACTCCGTCAACTGCTCTTTGAAATACACTGTTAAGACAAGGAAGGAACAATGCAGAGGTGGAAGCCGAAAATTGTGAATTATGTATGATAAAGGACTTGAATCCAAACCACAAATTACTCTCAAATTTTAAAATATACAAAACTTTGAATATCTACTTCACCACTGGAGAGATGTGGATGGCAAATCAACATGTGAACATAAGTTCAACACCAGCAGTCATTTGAAAAATGCTTATGAAAACCACAGAGAGATACAACACACCTTCTAGAATAGCCAAAATTCAAACGACTAACCATGCCAAGTGATGAACGTGTACAGAAGAATTGAAATTCTGCTGGAAGAAATACAAAGTAGAATAACTACACATTGAAAGGATATAAAATTTCAGGTTGATAGGACAAATAAGTGCAGATCTATTGCATACATGGTGACTGTCATAATAGGGTGTATATTTGAAAAATGTTACAAAGTTAGATAATAAATGTTCTCACCACAAAATGATAACTATGTGAAGTAATACATGCATTAATTGGCTAGATTTAATCATTCCACAATATGTGTACTTATCTATATACTTATATACATGCATACTTATATGTACACTTAAAATGTTTTACATGATACACACATCATTTTATGTCAATCTAAAAAAAAAAAGAAACAGTACAAATACTTGGGAAACGTCTGAAGGTTGATGTTAAACATACACCTCTCATGATTTCACCACGGGACTCCCAGCTGAAGTTCAGCCAAGGGTAATGAAAATATCTGCACACATCAAGACGTGCATTCAATGTCTATACGGCCAAAGTGGAGCAGATAAATCAAGTGTTATGTCCATACAAGGGAGGGGGAAGAAAATGGAACTAGGTGGGGGAGGGGCACTGGCTCTCTGGCTGCCCATCCCCAGAGAATTCCAGCTCATGGCCCTAGTCACTTAGCAACGCCCCTGGATTCTGGAAACAAACAAACCACTGAAACTCTGGCGGTGACTGCACAACCAGAGGCGCCATGGTGGAGGATAAGTGGCGCTTAAAGCCATGGGTGACGGAGCCAATGCCCCTGGGCATGACATGCAAACCCTGGTGGAAAGACCGCCTGCCTTCCAAGAGTTTCCCAAAACACAAGAACAAGCGTTTCCAGTTTCCCACTTCTCTGGACAGCCGGCGTTGGATGTTTGTGAAGGAAGGTCTAGATGACTTCCGGAAAGGTAGTCCACTTTCTGAAGATCTGATCATTCGTGGCACCAAGGAAGGCTTTCTCCCTCTGATCACTAATGGAGGCCCCCAGCCTAGCACCAAAACGAGCAGGCAAAAGCCGCCCAAGTACACAACAAGCCTGTACTCCACACTATCCTCAGCTCAAATAGCACGTAAGACATTCATGCATGACCTTGAGGCGTACCTGAACCAGAATCCTTCGGCTCTCTTGTCGACTCTGGAAGAAGATGTCCCTGTAGATCTCTTGCTAGAGGCACTCAAAGTACTGGACCCAGACCGGAAGCTAGAGGACACGTGGGATTATTGCGAGGGCCTCAGGGAAGTAACCAAGAAACCCACCAAGCCTTCCAAACAGCGTCGTTCAAAACCTTTGCCTAGACTTCCCGAGATTCCTCAGCCACGTCGATACAGCTTGCTTCAGGAAGATAAGGTAAGCTCATTGCATTTCCTCAGTTCTCTTCCACGTAGTTACATGCCACAAGGAGTTCGCGACTTCTGCAGATGGGTCGCTACTTTGGGAGACTTCGGCATTAGTGAAGATTTCCTGCTGAAACGATTTGACATTGGCTTTGAGTTCAAACCAACGTATGATGACAACCGAATGAAGAAACTGCATACGCTTCCTCCTGAGCTCAAATACTGCAAGGGGCTAAAGAAAGTGAAGGAGGTTATATTCACCATAGAAGAACTAGACTTTGAGAGGAAACTCCAAAAACCACAGAAATCCTATCATGAGAAGATCAGATATGGAGCATGGTACCTAAAGCCCACACTGTGGAGAAAGCTAATAAATGATGAGCCTTTGATTGACCCCAAGATCTTAGCTGAAGCTCAACGTGAACCTCCTCCTGATATTATTGAAGATCTTTATGGAACAATTGCCTTTAAAGATTTCATTGTAGGTAATGGCTACAGTATGCCAGGAATCCTTGAAAAGTTGTTCACCAGGAAGGGATGGCGTTATGACAAGTTTGTGACCCCTATACCAAAAGCAGTGGATGCTTATAAGAGAGCACTAGCTGCTTTTGCACAAGAAGATGACTAGCCAGTTTTTCATCAGCTATATACTTGACTGTATCTTGCTCAAATTTTCAAAAATCAGAATATAGGAAAACGGTAACAGCTTGGATGTACAATTGGGGCAGGCAGCCTGTTACTTCAACACTTAATGCTCATAAATATTTCTCAATGAACTTCTGCTTTGAATTCGTCAATATTTCAGATATCAACTGAGATCAGTATTCACATAACCTCTTCTCACATTTTTGCAGCATTGAGAATATTATGTCATTATATCAATTATTTGTAAGACTACATAAAACCATAAAATGCAGAATTACTCTTAAAAGGAAAAGGATCCAATGATGTCAGTTATGACATAAGAGATATCTTAAATACTGCAATTGTGTTGAATAAAAGAAAATTTGTAAGGCTCTACTTGTATTAAATTTTTAATTAAAAACTTAAAGCAATTAGTTTGTCAACCACAATTGAAATCTATAGCCCAAAGTTTTTTTCTGTTTTGCTTTTTTTCTCATGGTTTTTTAATTAAGTAAGTTTCTTGGTACAATTTAGGAATACCTAATGATCACACTCATCATAGAGAATTTGGAGCTGTGAATAATATATGTTGATTCTTTTTTCACCATTCCCCTCCTCTCCCTTCAAGCCCTCTTCCCCTCCTTATTTACAAATCTTTGCATACTTTTTATCCTTCTTTTTTGTTTATTTCCCTTTTCCATTGATTGCCACCTTCCCCTCCCTAGTCTCCCTTCCCATTTGAACATTTTCTACACATTTCCCAGTATTTATTACACATTTTGTTCCTTATGTACACATTGAGATGCTCACACTACAAAAACAATGTGATATGAACACACATGTGTCCAGTTTATTTGACTAAAGAGTATGGCCTCATGGTGCATCCATTTACTCACAAATGTTTCAAGTTTATCTTCTCTATGGCATGGTAGTACCCCATTATATTAAAAAAAACCCACATCTTCTTTATCTATTCATCTGGGGGTTGTTTGGTTTTTATCCATTCATCTGTTGATGGGCATCTGGGTTGTTTCCAAGATTTAGTTATTAACCAATTGTGCTGCTATAAACATGAGTGTGCATATATTGCTGTGGTATTATGCTTTTAATTCTTTCAGGAAAATACCAAAAAGAGGAATAGCTGGGTTGAATGGAATCTCTAGTTTTAGCTTTTTGAAGAATCTCCACACTGACTTCTACAGTGGTTGCACCAGTCTACACTCCCACCAACAGCAGAGAAGGGTTCATTTTTTCCCAACAGCCCCCTAAACATCTGATTTCTTGATAACAGCCATGCTTACTGGGGTGAGATGAAATATTAGTGTTGTTTTAATTTGTGTCTCTCAAATGAGCAATGATGTTGAACCTTTTTATATGTTTACTGGCCATTTGTACTTCTTCATCTGAGAAGTGTGTATTCATCTCAGATGCCTGCTTTGGATGGGGTCTTTACATTTGATGGGGTTGAACTTTTTCAGTTTTTTATATATTCTAAATACTTGCCCTTTGAGGAAGAGCTGGCAATGTTTTTCCCCATTCTATAGGTTGTCTTTTCATTAACTCATTACCAACACTGTTGGTAATTTCTTGTGCTGTGCAAAGCTTCTTAATAAAGTGAAGGTGTAATTTAAAACCTACCAACAAAGAAAAGATCAGGTCCTGAAGAATTCACTGCTGAATTCTACAAAACACGTAGACAATATCTAATGCCACCAGTCCTCAAACTCTTCAATGAAATTGAAAGAGAAGTAATTCTCCCAAAGTCATTCATGGAAGAAAGTATTTCCCTGGTACAAAAACTAGAGAATGACCTAACCAAAAAAGAGAAAATACAGGCCAATCTCCCTGATGAACATAGACACAAAGATGTTCAATAAGGTACTGGCAAACAGAATACAGCAAATCATCAAGAAGATTATACACCATGGCCAAGCAGGATTCATCCCAGGAATGCAGGGATCGTTCTACATATGCATATCAGTAAATATAATACACCACATCAACAGAGCCAAGGACAAAAATCACATGGTTATTTCAATAGACACAGAAAAAGCATGTGATAAATTCCAAGTCCCATTCATGAATAAAACCCCACAGAGAATTTGAATAGATGGTCTTTATCTCAATCTGATAAAACCAATCTATGACAAACCAACAACCAACATCATACTAAATGACCAGAAACTGAATACTTTCACTATAAAATCAGGCACAAGATAAGGATGTCTACTATCATCACTCTTATTCACTATAGTTCTGGAAATATTAGTTAGAACAAGTAGACAAGAGAAAGAAATAAAAGTAATATAGATAGGAAAAAAAGAAGTTAAATTATCATTATTTGCAGATAACATGATACTGTATATAGAAGACCCCAAATACTTCACCAACAGACTTCCAGATTAAATAAGCAAATTCAGCAGCATAGCTGGATACAAAGTCAACACTCAAAAATCAATAGCATTCCTGTACACAAACACTAAACTCATTGAGAGTTTATTGTTTCACACTCTTCACAATAGCTCCAAAAATGAAATACTTATGAATTAATCTAACAAAGGATGTAAATAGTCTTTACATTGAAAACTACAGTATTCTGAAAAAGATTGAAGAGGATATCAGAAAATGGAAAGATATCCTTTGCTTTTGGGTAAGAAGAACCAACCAAGTGAAAGTTGCCATACTCCCAAAACTGTTATACAATTTTAATGCCATCTTAATCAAAATACCAATAGCATACCTCACAAAACTAGAGAAAATATTCCTAAAATTCATTTGAAACCAGAAGAGACCTAGAACAGCAAAAACAATTCTGAGCAATAAAGGCAAAGTAATCCTTTGCTTTAAATTATACTACAGAGCTACAGTGATAAAAATGGCATGGTACTGGCAAAAAGCAGACCCAAGGATCAGTGGTACAGATTAGAAGAGGCAGAAACAATCTCAAATACACACAGCCACCATGTCTTTGACAAAAGGGTCAAACACTGTTACTGAAAGAAAGCTAGGTTCTTTAATAAATGGTGCTGTTAAAAACTGGATTTCTACATGTAGAAGACTAAAACAGGACCTATGCCTCTCACCATGCACCAAACTAAAATCAAAATGAATCAAAGATCTAAATATTAAAACAAACAGTAAATCTGCTGGAAGATTATTTCCTATTGATCGTTTCCTTTCTTGTTCAGCTTCGCGTGGGCCAGAACAGGCAAAGGAAGACAGAGACTGCTGGAAGCCTTCTGGGAGGCTGAGGCAGGAAGATCACAGGTTCCAGCCCAACCTAGACAATTTAGTGAGACTTTGTCTCCAAAAATAAAGGGCTGGGGAATGTAGCTCAGTGGGAAGGTCCTATGTTCAGTGCCCAGTACTAAAAAAAAAAAAAAAATGTACCGGAGAATAAGAGTGAGGGCACTTGTCTGCTGCCACAGGCACTGAATGCCAGGGATGGTATGGGAGCAGGCTCTGATGGCCAAGCTTTGGGGTACACTGTGGGGTACCATGTTTACACCAGTCAGTCCTCCTGTGGCAAGCATACAATGCCATGGTTTTAGTACAATTTGCCTCTGTTTACAGCATTTACCTCCCAGTAACTCTGTGGCAAGTTGAAGACACATGGACAGTGCATCACATCCCAGCTACTATCGAATCTTGGTCTTCTAGGTGATCCCAGGGCTGACTGGGAGCTGTCCCCGGCCAGCATCAGGACGAGGAGGAGATCCGGAGTCAAACCCTGAGTGTGTTTTCTACTGAGTGCCTTCTGCTTTTGCAGCACTGGGAAACGGGAAGCCCTGGGGTCTGTCCATTGAGTCAGGTCCCCCACACCTGCTGGCCAGTGGGTGTCATCCCCTCCCCTGCCCCTGTTGCCCAGCAGGATCACATGGATGGCAGCCTGGTCCCTTGCCAGGACACCCTCCTTGTCCAACTTATTTGATCGCCAGGATGTGGGCCTGCAGCTGCCAAATGGAGACCAGGAACTGCTGCCTGCGGAGCCTGGGCTGGAGACACAGATCTTGGGCTGCAGACATAGAACTGAGGTGATGGCCAAGGGGCACTGTGCCCCAGCTGGCTGCAGCCCATCCCTCACACCACCTCCAGTAGGCCTCTTCAGCTCCCAATGGCCAGGGACTTCAGTCTGTTTCCAGGAGAAAGGCACTGGTTCTGACGACAAGGCTATGAGTCCACCATGGTCCTTCCCCAGCCTCTGCTGCCCACTGCAGCAATGTGAGGACATCGGCCACAAGGGGCTGCCCTGATTCAACCCAGGACCTTCATACCAGGCTACATCCCCATGGGCTTGGTTTTTTTTTTTTTTTGTTTATTTTGATTTTGGTTTTGTTTGAAATAGGGTCTCACTGGGTTGCTGTTATGGTTTATGTCTGGGTGTCCCCCCAAAGCCTCTTGCGGCCCTGGGGCAGGCTATTAGAGATTGAATATGGGTGTGAGAGCTGCACCTGCCTGGGAGTGGACAGTTTGCATATGTAAGGGACAGGAAAAGAGTGCTTGGGGCATTCTTCCCCCATTCCGCCCTGGTGTGTGGCTTGCTGCTTTGCTGTGCTGCCGCCCTGAGATGCAGCCCTCTGCCACGTGCCACTCTGCCTTATAATCCTGCCAAGTACAGATTAAAACTTCCACGAACTGTAAGCGAAATAAACCTTTCCTTCCTTAATTTTGGGCGTCAGGTATTTTCTCCCAGCAGTGAGAAAAAAGTAACCAAGACAGTTGCCCAGGCTGGACTTGAACTTGTGAGCCTCCTGCCTCAGCCTTCCACATCACTAGGATTACAAGCATGTGCCACAGCCTGGTTTGTTCATTATATCTTCAAATGATCACATCTTAGATACATGTACAGAAAGATAAAATATTATTGTTGGGCTCAGAGGTAGAGGCTTGATTAGAATATGAGACCCTGGGTTCTATCTCCAGTTCAGCCAAAAAAAAAAAAATGCTACATTTTTTAAAATGGTATGTTGTTCAGGTTAGGTTACTGCAGTTTCCTGGGTTACTCATGGAAGTCACTGGTCTCCTCCATCCTAACCCCCTAATTCCTCCCTTAAAAGTATTAGTGTAAGGCCAAGCATAGTGGCACATGCCTATAATCCTAGCTTTCCTGAGGCAGAGGCAGGAAGCTCAACCCAAGTTTGAGGCCAGTTTGGGCTACATAGTGAGTTCAAGCCCAGCCTGACCTATATGGCTAGACCCTGTCTCAAAATCCAACAAACAGTACTAGCATGGACATGAAAGTCACTTAGGTGAGATGCCATTCAAAGCAAATTGTATTGTATTAAATATAACTAATGACATCACCAAAAGAAGTAATTTATTTCAAATAAATTGCTTCCAGAAATGTCAGGTGCCTGACTGCTGAACACTGACCTTCCACCCCTGA